GATTAATTTCCTAATAAGCATGAGCTAGCCGAAGACCTCCCCCTCCCTCACCTGGCTACTTGTCCTCCCTGGAGAGCCTCAGGGACCCAGGGCATCTTTCTCATCCCCTAGGGAGGGGGTCCTGGCTCACCCACCCACTGCCACATCCTCTTGCAAGAGGGTCTAGTGGCTCCCAGGGTCCTGGCCCCAGCGCCTCCTCCTTCCCTTGCCTCTCTCAGCTTCAGCCTAGGCAAGGTGATGAGTTAGGAGCCAGGAGTTAGCACATCCATCCAGCAATTAGCGTTTATCTCTCTTGATCGTGTGCCTGGACAACAGTTCATTTTCAAACTTAATAGTCAACACTCAGAAAGGTAAACCTGCCTGGGTCACTCCTGGGAGGTGATGTGAGGGTTTGGTGGGAAGACGAGGACAGGGTAGGAACTCAGCCCGCATCTTTGCCTCCAAGCTGCCACCCTCCCCAGAGTTATTCCTGAGGCCTCTGCCCTCCCCACATAGCTGATCAGGAGGAATGTACAAGATCCCCCCATTCCATGTGGGCAGGAAGTCTGAGGATGACAGACATCAATGGGCTCCGCAGTTTGCAGCCCCTCGGTTTTTTCTCACTTTGGATTTCAAGGGCTCTGACTTTCCATCTCGCACTTCACCTGGGGGTCTGCCTTGTACAGAGTCCCGCCTTAGGGGGCTGCAGAAGTGACCCTGACCAACCCACCCAGCCCCCTTCCTCAGGCCCACAAAGACAGCGCAAGGGCAGCAGTGCCCACGTGGAGGGGACCCTCCCCGTGCACCACGCTGCAACCTTCATGCCAGGCTGGACAGGGTTTGATGGGGTGAACAGCAAGCCCCTCCTTCCTGCTCAGCTGTTGTGATGCATTCCACAGCCTAGGACCTCAGGGTCTATTTAGCTAATGCAGAAAGAGGGAAGAAAGGGGCTCCCTTTGAGGGGCTGTTCCTGACTGCAGGGCTAGGGGAGGGAGGCTTAGTGCCCATTAACTTGTGGTGAAATGCTGCCACCTCCTGGCCATATCTTAGAACTGCATGGAGCCCTGGGGCTGGTCGGGAGACGAGAAACTGCCCAGCAGCCTGCCAGTACCCCCTGTCCAATTGCAGAAGGTTGAAAGGACCAGAAACCCGAGCTTGCTCTCAGGTTTGAATGTTGATTTCTCAACAGTCATATTATCATGTATCAATTATTGGGCACTTGCTGTGCCAGGTGCTTTTCACACATTCCCAACAATCCTGTACAATGCCTTTACGGAATTTACCCTCCTACAGGCCAGGGAGCTCACCAAGGTCACACAGCTGCTGAGCAGTACAGTCGGGACTCGCTCAGGCAGTCTGGCTCCAGACTCTGTACTCCAAACTCCTAAGCCCACGTTTTGGTTCCCCAACCGATGGAATGTCCCAGATAGCCCCTCACTGGACCTCTCCCCAGATAGCTGTTTCTCCGCCTCCAAGTCCTGTCCACATGCCCACTTTCCTCTAGGAGAACAAAACACAGTAACCCCTGATATCACGGAGTCCATATTCCAGTGGGTCCTGAAGATCCAGGTCCAGAGCAGAGCTCCACGCTTCTGAGGCCCCCGCCTCCCCGCTCCTGACCAGGAAAGGCATCTCCTCAGGGAAGGCCCAAGCCCCATACTGTCGAGGTCTAAAGGTGAGGTGGGGCAGCCGGGTGGGTAAGCGGAGGCGTGGGGAGTCAGGAGTCCAATCCACCTGGCTCTCGACCAGGTCCTGATCAGAGCCCTAACCTGGTACCAAGCTCCATTCTTCAGTCCCTTCCATCCAACCACTCACGCTATGATCTTTGCTGCACAGAGCTGGGAAAGGACCCCAGGAACGATCCAGTGAAAACACCTCATGTTTTAGATGGGGAAGGTCGGGACCAGAGAGGGCAAGCAGATCACACAGACCAAAGTGATGGAGTCAGGAAAAGAAATCCCAACTACTTGGCCCAGCTCTCTGCTGAGCCCCAGCTCTGCCTCGCTGCCTCCTCCAGCCCAGACCCCATGGGTCCTCCCCCCTGTGCCGGCAGGCTACCCACAGCACCCCCGGAATCGCCTAAGGCACAGAGCTTGTGAGGACAGGGCATGGGGGAGCATGGATCTGAGAGAAACTAGAATAGAAATGGAGTCTTGCTTCTCTCCTTTCTCTCCCGTTCTGGGGAGGGACGTGTCCCCTCCCATTCCCTGAGCCACGTGGGGCCTGCGATAGTCCCAATGTTTTCATTCACGCTGAGGAGGGAGGCTTTCTAAGAAGTGGGAAGAAAGGATTCCCTTGATTGCTTTATAATCACAGCTCTGGTGGTAATGGATGTGGGAGCACCGTGCTTGGGGGACGTCCCCACCCAGGTCCCAGCAGAGGGCCCAGGGCCTCCAGGCTGCAGGTGGCCGCTCCTGGGGAGGCCCAGGCCTCAGACAGGCAGGGGCCCAGCCGCCCCCACGGCTCTCAGCCCAGAGAATTCCGCAGGGTTGTACTACTTTTTTTTTTTAACCACCAG